AAAATGCATCAAACGCTGCCCTTGTTGAACGTTCGCAAACTACTTGGTGCGGACAGCATATGAACAATCGTCGTCAAAATATCCTCTTTGGAGTTCACATTGTTTTACAGCATCTTTTCTGTCTTTCTCTCCAACTTTCTAGTCCTCTGACCTGTTGGAAATGTAATGTAATTTATTCTGATGCAAACGCGGTAAAATCTGATTCGAATAATAGTAACCATCCGCCGCCCCTCAAATCTGTTCTTTTGAAAGTGTTTAAAATAGTCATTTCCGAACAACTGTACGTTCCTCGAGAGCGGAGGACTGCTGAAATATCCCAAGATGCAGAAACTTTCTCTCCACTCTTTCTTCTCCCTATCGTTTATTTCCTATCCAATACTTCCAATCCAATCCTCTCGTTGGCCAATGGGGCCACTACGCGCTTCACTTTTCAATGTTACTATACCAGGATGTCGAGATTGTAAAAAGTTCAGTAGCCTCAGTGGAATNACGCTTTTGTACAGCGCACACTACCAGGTGAGCTACGAGGCCAGATGGTAAAGCGTGCGCTGTACAAAAGCGTGGGCGGCGTCCGTGCGCGGGTTCGAATCCCACTGAGGCTACTGAACTTTTCACCATCTCGACATAAAACCTTCAGTTTGCCAAACAATAATTTATGCCAGGATGGCCCTAATATTAAACATTGTAGCTGTTTACCACCGAAATAACATGGTGTTGACAGAGTCTTAGCGCCCGTAGCGAAGAATCAAACCACTTCACCACCGCTGTCATCACCCTTACTGCTTACTCACTCGTAAATCGGAGACATCACTTTATGTAAGTTCGTATCTAGTGGGGATGGATTCACTGGGTTCCAATATCACTCACAGTACCCATGTTCCACCGTAAAGTCAGTCCGATTTTAATACATTAAAAAAAACGGTGTAGTATTAGAACAGAATATTGCACAGGTGAGTCCCACATATGCGCCTCTGCAGTGTAAGTGCACTCCTTGGACGGCATCATTCCATTCCCGATCTTTGTACCATGACACCAGCTGGTTGATACATCAGCATTGGTGCGCTTCCGTCGTACGCTCTTCCAGGCTGGCTGCACAGGCTCTGTTTGGCCTTCTACTCACACGGAATGATTGCTGAACAAAATCCTGGTCAACTTTACGGTACATATTTGGGTTAAACTCGCTTTTGAAGAACTCGCTATTGGTGTTAAATCCCGGATTCATCTCATTTGTTTCTTTTAGATCACAAGCGATCACGGGACAAGGAGCGCGATCGTGGCCGGCGCTACTAAACGAGCGCATGACTCCTAGTCCTTGTCTTTTTCCCACTCGCAGTGTTTTCCATTTTACCAGCCATGATTTGTACAAATTGCATGAAAACTGTATATTGCTTCAACCTATTCGTCTCTGAATTCTACAATTTCGATATGGGCTTTTGGTAACTATTTTAACTTATTTTC